ATTGAAATGTCTTAAACTCTACTCCTGCTTGGTGCCCTGCTTAAACTCTTTTTATCTCATACGTGTGGATGATACTGTCCGTTGGATAAACATATGCTTTATCAATGGGTAGATGCTTTATCAATAGCACTTCCGGTTTTGACACGATTCCTCGCTTCAAGATTTTATTTCATATTGAAACTTTTTTGTGAAAATTATTGCCCTTATAAACTGAATAATAAAGAGCAATTATGTCGTTAAAAGGAAGACAAAGACTCATATATGTCACAGAAGTGTCTTATTTTACCAAGGTACCTGCATTGGCTACTTGAAGACGGAAGCTACCCCCCTCCCTTTAAATGTTTTCGGAGAAAGTAAATCCTAGCAGTTAAGTTGTTGTTATAAAATTCCTTTAACATCTTCAATAATGCTTTCTAATATTATACTACGTATGCCTACCTTGTAATGAAGGTGCAACTTGCCAGGAATCAACAATAAATCTACCAATCATACTATAGCACGTTTCGTACTGCCACCTTACAAAGAGTTAAATTTCACATTCCCATGGTCCTTACAACTTTCAGTCAGAAGTTCGTTTGGTGTAAAGCTCCATGATATTTCAAATATGCAAATAGCAAAAATTCTAAATTTTGAACACGATTGATTTCTTTCGAGGCATGTCAACATCAACGGTGCTACGTCGTCAATTTATACGTCATCAATCATTCATGTAGATTTGCAGGGGAAGTCTCAAAGTTTTGTTAGAACGAAAGTCGTATGAGATGAATAGAACATCTATAATTATGTAATTTGATATTGGCTTTATCCAACGAGTTGAAATGGTGTAAATATTCGCGAGGCTTGCCGAGCGAATATTCACCATTTCGACGAGTTGTATGAAGCCAATATAAAATCACACAATACAGATATCCTCTATAAATGTTATCCAAATCGAGTGAGCAACCTTTAAGAAAGACATAATTTATCGATGGTGAGAGACCGTGAGGAGTTTATATGTATTCATGTGCATGCAGTTTGCCTTGGGTTTATATGTATGTATAAATTTAGAAACAGATTTTAGAAAACAAAATCATTCTTTTTTTGATTAATTTATCAAAAAAAGCCAAATTTACTTCTCCTATGCAACAGAACCTTTTTCACACATGAGTGAACAAAGAAGTCCCAGAAAGAAGTCTCAGGGACATCTGGTACCGCTGGGTCTGCTTTCTACAGCAGTCCCAGAGCGGTCCAAGAGCAGTCCCACAGCGGTCCTAGAGTGGTCCCAAAGCAGTCCCTGGGACTGTTTTCTGGGACTGCTTTTGTGTCAGGTTGGGTCTGGTCGGTATAATGAGTTACATGTAATAACATTTCGATTTGTTCTTCTCTGAGTCCTTAATGAAAGCCTTATTGAGTCTTCTTTAAGAATGTTGACAATGTTCTAGACTCTCACACAGAATTAAAAAAAACTCTAACGATGTATATTCTTTCAATGGACTTGATTACTGTTTGTTTTCTTCATATTAAATATAACAAGAGGCCCAGGGGCCACAGCGCTCACCTGAGCACATCGGGCTTGAATTTATCCCCCCCCAGGCGTTCATCATTTGAACAAATTAGAATCTACACTACCTGAGGATGATTCCATATAAATATCACTAATCATAGCTTTGAAGTACTTGAAAAGAAGATTTTAAAAGGTTTCCTTATATATCCCTATGTAAAACTTGGGTGGGCCATTTTGGCCCCACCCTAGCCCCGGGGGTCATGATTTGAACAAACTTGAATCTACACTACCTGAGGATGATTCCACATGAGTTTCATCTTTCCTGGCCCAGTGGTTCTCGAGAAGAAGATTTTTAAAGATTTTCCTAATATATTCCTATGTAAAACAAGGGTCGGCCATTTTGGCCCCACCCTTGCCCCGGATGTCATGATTTGAACAAACTTGAATGTACACTACCTGAGGATGATTCCACATTAGTTTCATCTTTCCTGGCCCAGTGGTTCTGGAGATGATGATTTTTAAAGATTTTTCCTATAAATTCCTATGTAAAACTTGGGTCGGCCATTTTGGCCCCACCCTTGCCCCAGGGGTCATGATTTGAACAAACTTGAATCTACACTACCTGAGGATGATTCCACATGAGTTTCATCTTTCCTGGCATAGTGGTTCTGGAGAAGAAGATTTTTAAAGATTTTTCCTATATATTCCTATGTAAAACTTGGGTCGGCCATTTTGGCCCCACCCTTGCCCCGGGGGTCATGATTTGAACAAACTTGAATCTACACTACCTGAGGATGATTCCACATGAGTTTCATCTTTCCTGGCCCAGTGGTTCTCGAGAAGAAGATTTTTAAAGATTTTTCCTATATATTCCTATGTAAAACTTGGGTCGGCCATTTTGGCCCCACCCTTGCCCCAGGGGTCATGATTTGAACAAACTTGAATCTACACTACCTGAGGATGATTCCACATGAGTTTCATCTTTCCTGGCCCAGTGGTTCTCGAGAAGAAGATTTTTAAAGATTTTTCCTATATATTCCTATGTAAAACTTGGGTCGGCCATTTTGGCCCCACCCTTGCCCCGGGGGTCATGATTTGAACAAACTTGAATCTACACTACCTGAGGATGATTCCACATGAGTTTCATCTTTCCTGGCCCAGTGGTTCTCGAGAAGAAGATTTTTAAAGATTTTTCTTATATATTCCTATGTAAAACTTGGGTCGGCCATTTTGGCCCCACCCTTGCCCTGGGGGTCATGATTTGAACAAACTTGAATCTACAGTACCTGAGGATGATTCCACATGAGTTTCATCTTTGCTGGCCCAGCGGTTCTGGAGAAGAAGATTTTTTAAAAATGCAATTAATTTTTAACAAATTCATGATTATCTCCCCTTGGAAAAGGGCGTGGCCCTTCATTTGAACAAATTTGAATCCCCTTCACCCAAGGATACTCTGTGCCAAGTTTGGTTGAAATTGGCCCAGTGGTTTTTGAGGAGAAGATGAAAATGTGAAAAGTTTACAACGACGACAACAACAACAACGACAACGACAACGACAGACGACGGACAAATTTTGATCAGAAAAGCTCACTTGAGCCTTCAGCTCAGGTGAGCTAAAAAGGAATGCTCTTGTTTTTTTAATATAATCATAGGAAGCGCCAAAAGTCTTTGTTGTGTAAATTCATTCATAAAGTTGAAAATAAAGCATCAATTCCAATATTTAAGTAGCCAAATAAACCCCCTCAATTTATCTTAAATATGTTAAAGGCAATCTAATGCACATAGTAATATACGATAATAATAGTCTTTAAAAGGGTGATTAATAATGGATTAATGAAAATATAGAATTATAGACGAATGAACATCACTGTTTCTCTTAGGTTCTTTGTACAATGTGACCTCGGGAAAGATGTTCACAACTTTGAGTAAGCCCTCAGCTGTACTAGATGATTCTGGAATTTACGCATGCTCACACACAGCTTCTCCGGAACCAGTGCTGGCGTCCGTTTATGTTAATGTTACCAACTCAGGTAGTGTTGTAAAATTTTAAGTACGTCACTGTGAACGAAATCTGCTGACCGGTATCTATAATAGAAGAACATCAATGATCAGAACTGAAAATTCCGGATTTTATTTACTTTCTATCTCTCGAACCCTCTAATCTCTCGAACTTTCGTTGCGGTCCCTTGAATTTCGAGAGATCGAGAGTCACCTTTAATTACTAATTGTTAATTGTTTCAGTTTTTTTTATGGATTTCAATCTATTTTGATATTTTCTAGCTGTAAACTATCCAGTTTTTACATGTTGATATACATGATTACAGATAACACTTGCACAGGTGGTGAAAAAGGGAATGTAAAATCCAGATGGATAAAATATGCTATCTCCAACTATCTTAAAGATAAAATCAAGTTGGACAGAGAAATAAGAAAGAAGGCAGAAGTAGGAAAACTAGAAATAGAGAAAAGAAAGCAGAAAATGGAAATGGAAATGTTCAAAATAGAAAAGGAGGAAGGTACTGAATTGTTAAAACTGCTGACACTGTTAATCAAAGACCAAAATGACAAGTGACTCAAATTATTATCGGGGGTTCGTCATGGCCATAAATCATCGGAATTCCGTAAATCACTCAACATTGAATCCTGTATGAAATTTATAAGAAATGTTTTCAGATAGCATTGCTATTTGTCTTCATTATAAAACTTGATATACTATTAAATTGTAAAGCTTTTCAACTAAAGTGTTGTTTAAAGTTATCATTTTGCAAATATTAAACTAAGACATGCAATCATTTTGAAAGTAAAGGGGCTTGGATGTAAGTATGTACATATGTCTTAAAGAAAAGTTGATTGGTCTAAGATTAATTGGAAAATGTCCATTCGGGAATGCATTGATCTACAAAATTCTAGTTGTTTACCCCCCTCTCTGGACCTGGCTGTACTGTTTGGATACGACGAAGGCCCAAACGTTGGAAAAAGAAGCTTAATCTTGGGAGGCCTAAAGTGCATTTGAGATTCTTGTGCACTCTTTTTTGTAAATTACTCGCTATTTGTTAACATATTTTTTAAGCTATAGATATCTTAAATGCAATTAGCCCCCAAGAAATTATCCCTTCAATTTTGTTTTCATGGAATTTTTCTACCACTTTGGCTTATATTTGGTATAACAAGAGGGCCATGGGCCTTATAGGTCACCTGAGCATTATGCAACAACTTTCCAGTTATTGAATTTGATTCATGTTTCAAGCCAGATGTTATAGCATTCACAATTTTGAAAGAGGCACCATTGATCATCATAACAATATGCTGAGCAGTTGCTTAGCTTGGTTACTTAATACCCATAGGCAAGAAACAATAGGGAACAAAAATGCATTTCAAAACAATAGGGAACAAAAAATGCATTTCAACTAATCATTAATATTCGGCAATGATCAATAGTGCCCTTACCACACATGAACCCCTGACCCTTAGGCCTAGATCCACACACTGCACAATTTTTGAAAAGGTATCCTTGCTTTTCAAAAATATTTGATTACCCCCCCCCTCTATGGTACCCCTGACGCCTTGAAATTCACAATTCTGCAAGATTAGGGTCCTTGCTCATTATAACTATATAGGTAGTTCATCTGCTTCATACCAAGAGACAGAGAAGAAAATTTTCAAAGATTTAATGTATTTTCACTATATAATCAATAGAGCCCCGCCCTAACAACAGAACCCCTGACCCTGAGACCATAAAATTCAAAATTTTGGAAGAGGCATTCTTGCTCATCATAACTATGTACTTAGTTAGTTTATTTAATACCCAGGAACAGAGAAGAATTTTTTCAAAGAATTCATGTATTTTCAATATATAATCAAAAGAGCGCCGCAATAACACCAGAACCCCTGACCCCAAGGCCATAAAATTCACAATTTTGTTAGAGGCACTCTTGCTCATCATAACTATGCACTTAGTTGGTTATTTAATACCCAGGAGCAGAGAAGAAGATTTTCAAAGAAATAATGTATTTTCACTATATACTTATTTAGCTCCGCCGTAGCACTAGAAGCCTTGACCCCAGGGCCATGAATTTCACAATTTTGGTAGAGGACTCACTGCTGATTACAATCATGCAAACAGTTTGACTGCCTGATGTCCAGGAGTAAAGAAGAAGATTTCTAAAGATTGCATTGATTTTAGTGGTTTTTGCCCCATCCCTCAGGCCCCAGTGGGGCAGGGATCATGAAATTCACAATATTTGTTCCCCTTTACCCATAAATGCTTTGTGCCAAATTTGGTTGAAATTGGTTCAGTGGTTGCAGAGAATTCGAAGAAGCTGAAAATGTTCAAATGTTAACGCACGACGACGGACGAAAACGGATAGCAATAGGTCACCTGAGTTTACTCAGATGACCTAAAAAAGCCTTTTTTCAAATAAGCAACAAAACACATGTTGAATGATAGATGATACGTTGAAAATGATGACGTAACAATTTTACAAATGCTTCAATTAATATAAGAATTGAATTTTAACCTCTTTTATACAATATAACATAACTTAAAGCGTAAACTGACCCAAGTTATATTATAATCTCCCTCCTTTCACTCCTCCGAAAATAAATATTTTCTTGACTAATTTGCTAAAGAAAAAACAAAGCAAAAGAATATACTGTAAGACTGTTGTGTTCGTAACAAATGGCATTTTTATTCAAAACATACAATTCAAACGCCTAAATTTTACAAAATAAAAAATGCAAGAGCTGGGAGGCCAGGGAAAGCAAAAGACACAAAACAACCTGCGATTCTTTGTAAAGAACGTCGCATTAATCGAACATTCCCCGGTAAAAGTATTTATAGTGAGCGCTAAATTGCTCGTGCATGAAAAACCAGTTTCTATAGATACGAAATTTAACTCACGGAGAATAATTATTATACCGGAGTAAAAACGCAAAGAAATACATTTATATCGTGTAAAGAGGTTAAAATAAGCCTCATTCCTTATAATTTAATTTCAGTGTTGACAATAAGAGAAATTTTCCTCCGAAAACGGCTTCAAATTGAACTTATTTTATAAGTAACGTCAATCGGAGTAATACCGTTTTGACGTAACTCATTGTGACGTAGCCAACTCATGTTATATGATATAAACTAAATCTTTTAACCAATCAAATGCCTTGATACAACTAAAATTAAATATTATAAAATAAACTAGAGCTAGGTACTGTGAGCAATGAGCTCACTAAATGAATTCACTAATTCACTAATTGAATTCACTTGTTCATTGATTGAAAAAGCAAAAAAATGTTAGTGTTCTTGTCACTTAAAAGCCTCAAAGATTGTAATCATATTCAGAACTGTTGAATATAATTCAGTGTTTATTTTCAGTACTGTGCCTGAGAGTGTTTCCCACTCATAAAAATGACATTACGGCAGCATAAACATCTTCTTCCTTAATAAAATGAAACTCCTAAATTTTCATATAATGCTATTTGTCCGCTACAATACATTCTGGATACAATGTCCCTGAAGCCGATGTTATAAAAATGCTGGGATTCCTCATTGATATATCTATAAAGTCAAGACTTTGGAGACCTGTCTTCCTACGATCTGATGGAATTTCAAGGGACTAATTGGTATGCCATTATAAGGAGACTTGTTTTTATGTTCTCAAAAATATGAATGAAAAAAGAAATCTTTTTCCCGTGTCTTTGCACAACATTAAGATATCGATGAAGTTTAAAGAATTATTGTTAATTTCCTCCACATGCCGAATTAGTAAATTAATTAAAAAAGACAACTTTATTTATAAACAACTTACCCGACTTTTCGATTTTGGTAATCCCACAATCTTTTATAAATGCAGCTAAACAAAAGATGAAATACATGCATTGCTATGACTTCAACAAAACTTTTACATTTTCTCCTTTTTGCCTACCTTAAAAAACTTTTCTATTCATTGTCAAACTTGATTAGTATTCAAAATTCATAGTTGACAAAAACGTTAAGGTGAAACATATAATACAAATTTTACATGGTACTAATTTTGATGCACCAGGGATGTGCATTTCGACAAATTATGTTTCTTCAATGGCGCTCAAAACATTGAAGATCTGAAAAAAGGCGAATTAAAGACTGGAGCATATTTCGTGGAAGGACCAGAGTTTATGCATTATGGAGATATAATGCATGTTAAAATAATTTTTTAAATATATTTCTTAATTTAACCACAGCAAATAAATATGTCCGTATTTTCAAGAGAGAAACGAAGTATTTATAGCTACCGGGCTGTAGAGACCCTCGGGGGCACACGATCGACCAGCAGAGGCCTCGACCCAGGAGGACAATATTCATGTTACAAAGTACCAATTTTGATGCACCAGATGCGCATTTCGACAAATTATACTTTCTGATTGTTAAGTTTGCCCTATCATCGATATCGATGAGATCGAAACATAATTCTTATTTAACTAGAGTTTATCCTAACCTAAAACTTTACCCTTACCCCAATTCACCCCTGACAATAACAACCCCATTTCCTCGGTTTATTATCACTATATTCTTATCAATAACGAATCAACATCGACATCGCTAATTGCCTTGTATAATAATGTTACATCTCAACTTGAAATAAAACATATGACGATAACGATTCAAGAAGATAAGTATTCAAGATCAAGCCCCGCGTGGCGCAGTGGTTAGAACGTATGCTCTACACTCGCGAAGTAAGGAGTTGATCCTTACGTCGCGTGCTCGAATTCCCTGTGCGACGTGGAGACCGGTCCTAAGGATGAGACCGTATAAAGCGAGGTTCCGTGTCGCAGTAGGTGTTGGCACGAAAAAGATCCCTCACTGCTCAATGGCCCAGAGGGCCGAGTACAGGACAGAATGTGTAGCTCTTTATCGACAAGTGATGGCGTCTCAAAATGAGTGAAAAATGTTCAGAGGGACGTAAAATAATATACAATCAATCAATCAAGGTCAAAGGTCCATAAAACAATACAAAATAGGAGCAAAGCAAACACAGACTTCCAAAACCTCAGATTATGTGCCATGGAGGAATGAGCTTTCCCTGTCGATCGGTCACACCAACTGTGTGCTCTTTGTCGTGATTGGGAAATAAAATAATTTTCATAGATCAAGATTGATATCGATACAATAAGATATCATCATGATATATTTCGAAATCGACGATAGAGATAAAGAACCAAGTCTTAAATGGTTTTTAGTAGTAACAATTGATCTCTGATCTCGATTGATATCGTTCCAAAATGACCAATTGTAAGGCCTTTGTTTATGTACTGAATTTGTCTACGGAATATTCCATTTAACAAATAAATAGATAGGATGCACGGCGGGTGATACCGGTCAACGGGGGATGCTTACTCCTCCTTGGCACCTGATCCCAACACTGAAATTACCAGGAGTTCATATTTTATTCCTTGTTCTCATTACTGTTTACTTTTAGAGATCGATCACTGTTAGCGTTCTGCTAGATTTGTTTGTAAATAAGAATTGAAATCAAAACAGGGCTACAGTAGGACTATTTCTTGACATGACAGTGAGAATTGTTCTATCCAAGTACAAGGAAAGACATGAAGATATATATATCAAGAAGGCTG